TTCCCTAGAATGCTTCTGCTGAACTGCCACCCAAGACATCCAAAAATCAGAGGCAGGGGCCAGGGTCATCCTTAATTCAAAGTGCTGAATCGCTTTTCACTAGTGACCCTTGGTCCCCTATTCTTAGCAACCTGAGAGAGATGTTCATCCAATTAAATAATTTATTTCTGACATAAAAATTTATTTTATGGTTAGCTGTGGACTAAAACCATTAGCAAATGGCTTTTATTTCTGTGTAATAAAATGATGGGGAAATAAATAATGTGAAAGCTTTTGCATAAGTAACTAATAAGGAACATCACAGAGAATGGGAGTTAAGGAAACACCCAAAAAAAGGTTCAGAGGAGAAACAGGTCAGAGATTCTACAAGTTCACACAATTTACTTATAGAAGAGTCCCTCAGGTCCTCTGTTAAAGCCTTTTTATTCTAATTTTAGACACGTTTCAATTGGGTGTGGTTTGTTTAAGTGGGTTCCCAGCCCACAGTAAATTAGAGGTAGCATATTAGATAAGAGTTGGAAGGAAGCACTCAGCAACAAGAAGTGACAGCTGACAGGCTGGCTGTTAGTAAAGAGACTGAAAACCCTATAAAAAGCAGATAGAACTCAAAAAATTTGGTGCAGGTGCAAAAACTCCCAGATGCCATGCACAGTGCACAAATGATGTTTATAATTATGACCCTGAGTTATTGAGAAGGATTAAATATGCACAGGGTTAAGACATCTCTAAGACATTTCAGGGGATATAAGTAACACATTTTAGTATACTTTCCACTAAAGTTTAAAAGGAAAAATAAGGCCAGGTGTGGTGGCTCAAGCCTGTAATTCCAGCACTTTGTGAGGCCGAGGCAAGACATTCAAGACCAGCCTGGGCAAATTGGTGAGACCTCTCTCTACAATAAATCAAGAAAAATTAGCTGGGCATGGTGGTGCATGCCTGTAGTTCCAGCTATTTGGAAGGCTGAGGTGGAAGGACCACCTGAGCCCAGCAGGTTGAGGCTGTGGAGGCCACGCGTGTTCTACTGCCTGGGCAACAGAGTGAGACACCGGCTCAAAAAAGCTTCAGTTTTCTGAACCACTGTTTCATGAGACACCTATTCCATAATACCAAACTAGACATTACTGAATTTAGAATTTTAAAATATCAACTTTTAAAAAGGTATAGTTTTATATTTGTTTGGAGTTTTCAATATGGAATCACTGAAGTACAAGAAACCCAATTTTAAGACAAATTTGCAACTTCTAGGATAGCATATTTTTAAAGTATATGCTGCACATTTTTTTAGTATAAATTCCATTCTAATCACAGAAAATATATACTTTTCCATGTCAATCTCCTACTTAAATTATTCTGTGAAAAACTGGAACTTACATTGGACTTTAGCATGCACTATAAATCCACTTTAAACTTATTTAACACAGTGAGAATAGGTGGGCCTAAATAGATCGAACTTAAGGTCCCATAGGTTAAGAATTTTTAATGAAAACTATCAGGTTACTGTCTGAAGCAAAATACCATTATTACAACAGTACAGCCAGCGTTTGACTTTATAATGACCTTAATTCACTCATGAGAGCTCTCTTCATTTCTATCTAAAATAAAAGGCCCCAGTGTGTTTGCCCAACCATGGCTTCCCAGCGTCTCCAATGGCAATCACTTCCCATGGAGAGGTAAGAACTGACCTGTGACACAGATAAGAACAGGCCGAGGTTTCCCTTTACGTAACTTTTGAATGAATCTCAGGTGATGGGCAATAACCAAAGTCATGGCCTGTATGGTTTCACAATGATAGGAACCAAAACTCCAGTCAAATTTGACAAATTTTAGCTATTACAGTAGTTTCTAGTGCCTTGAAAATGTGTTTATGTGTAGCTCTTCGAGGGGGAAAAGGCTATCAATTCAATATAAAGATTGCTGGGAAATATACGTATGTAAAATTAATCAGTATAATACTATACTCATAAAAGCATTATTGACTCAAGATTCAAATTTGTTTTATGTTGTAAAATCACATATACTACAAAGTATTTTGGCTGAAATTTCATCACTGTAGCTATAGAAGCCTCCTTAGTGAATTACAATGACTCCAGCCTTTAATTCATTTAAATAATGGCCAACATTTTTCAGATTTTGAGATGCAATATAGACAGTATTGTTTCTGCATTTCTGTTCTAGCTTTATCTTACCATGTCACTATATTGATATTTGGACTAAAAAACTGACCTGTAAAATCTGGTCCAAGTCTGAAGTTTAGTATACTAAAATTACACAAATGCTAAAATATTTTATCATCCTGTTATTTTTTAATCCTTTTTGGTTATGAAACTAACATTACTACAATAATGGCTTTAAAATGTGGCTGAAAATATTTAAAATGTTTTTTCCCATTAGTCTGATTTAGATGGATATTTTTCTAAAATTCAAAAAATTAACAATGCTAAAAAATCCTACATGGTTTTCTAATGTTACTTTTAATTTTCTTTGTACTTATGGCTTACTCATGAAGTTTCAAGAATTCCACTTACTTGGTCCAAGATGCTGCAGTGGGAAGCAGTTTATGGGCTGAAGGATACAGCAGACCTCACTGCTAGTGCCAGTGCTGGCTCTGGGTAGCTCTGTGACCTTGGGAAGATACTTGACATCTCTGGGTTTCATTTTTCTCCTATTACAGAATGCAGGGGACTGGACGAGCTGAGGTCCCTTCCACCTCCACATTCTATGACTTGCAGCTCAGTTGCCATAAAGTCAGCAGAGGGAGCACTTTTTCTACGTCTTATACATTTTGACTCTCATTCAGAGACACCTTCCAAAAATTAAGGGATTTGTGAAGAACACTACTGAAACGAAAAACTGACAATCCTTCCTTCACTCAGATTTGATTGAAAATTTGAGAAAAGTCTAGGAATGACCTCTAATCTTTGAATTCTGTGATAAAGTCCTATGGCACGGTCATTTTATAAAAATTGAGGAGCCAAAATGCTCTCCGAAATTAAGCTCCCCTATATGGTATGTCTTTTTATATCAAATGAAAGAAACACGCTTGACCATACAAGAGAGGCTATCTGATGTCATAGTTGAAAAGTGAAAACTCATCAATCATTAAAAACATTAGCAAATTGGGTCTAACATAAACAAACCACGCAAGTGATTGGTAGGTTTTTCTTTTGCACTTTTCATTGAGATACATTGGGAACAAGCAGATAGACACATAGAGAGCCTGGAGGCTTGCAAGAGATTGGAAACGTGTGATATCAAGCCAATGACAAAAAAAGCTGCATATCTGAGAAACTTAGTGACTTTTATCCCTATAGTCATAGATATCTTAAAACTAATTGAGCATCCATTATTAGACAATCTCATATAGTATATTAAAGTTTTTATTCCTTAGTAAGAATTTGTAAATCACAAAATAGTGTGGCAATATTTAGGTAATAGAATTTATGGAGTGCTGAAAATACTAGAATAGAAAGATAATTTCTAGTTTATCTTCACATACTAAACTTTTCTAAACCAGCTGGTTTCTTGCAGACAGTATTTATTTTTTTTTTTAATAATTTAAGACAGCATAAGCTTGTACCAAGCATAAGCATTGTAACAAAAGTGCAACTTTTCAGCAAATCCTCCCCAAAAGATATTTTAACTCAAAATATCATTAGCACATATTTTCTCCCTACAAAAATAGCATGTCAGACATCATTAATTGGATGTATTAACAACTATGTACATAAGAGCCACCTTGTAGGCTAAGAGTTTAACGTTGTTTAAACACAGCGTTTGAGGCAAACAGTAGCAACAGCAGCAGCAAATGCACCAAACTGACGAAAAGACCCAGATATTTTCCTCACTCGTAGTCAGACTGTTGTGTCTCACCCCTTACATAACATTCAAGTGAGATTTCTCACAGTGCTACCTTGGCAACAAACTAAAAATATCTAGACAAGGTCTTGGTTTAAGCCTTATTAAAAAAGCTTTCTTTGTGATTATCTGGTATCTGGTTTGGTCTCCAGAAAATACATAGACTTGGAGATAGGAAGGCCTCACAGGGCTTCGTTCCACATCTTTACAGCATTTCCAATCAGAACTGACCGGTTTAATGCTTTCATCCACTTTTGTCATTTAACAGAATATAGGATAAATCAGTTTGGACTTTTTTTTCAGTTCAGTGCACATTTTTTTTTTACAGTAAGATTACAAAAATTTAGGAACATGATGGATCAACGAGAGTGGGAACAGATGCACTTGAGATATAGATATAGATAGATATATATATAGATCTATGTCCCTATCTATATATATAGACTAAGAAGAAATTAAGATGAGTCCATTGATTCATGGTCAACTTCTCAATAAAGTGCTAGCAAATGTATTAAGAATGATTCTAGCCTTCCTCATCCATTTTCTTCCCTGACTTAGTTCTGACGATGGCCCAACTCCGTGTTTCTTTAAACAAGTGCAAGATACTAAGAGATACCATTTAAACCACTTCAGAATAGGTTGCAACGTGAGCAACTGCATTCTCACTTCTCTGAAAAATATATGCCTTTCAAAAAGCTGAACATTATAAAATACTGAAGAGTAAATTTAATTCTAAGAGAGCCTCAGTCTGTTTGTGGAAAGTCTCCTAAAACAGGCAGGGCAGCTTTGAGAAGCAACTCTAAACAACAACAACTGTCTGCTGTTGCATGTCACCTCCCATCAAAGATGTCGAAGGTGTTAACACCTTTTCCCCTACCCTGGTTCAGTGAGTTCACCCACAGAGCATACCCTTCTTTCTTCTTCTAGAGTTAGGCTCCACATTGTAAAAGATAATGGAACAAGGCCTAGAAGGAGGCGAAACTTATTCTGGAGATTCTTTAACGAAAAAAAGAAGCAACATCTTTGACCGCCGGTGGGGGGCGGGGGAAGGAGGGCTGTTAGTGTGCGGAGGGTGGGGTGGTGAGGGATGAGCAAAACAGGAACTCCAAATGTACACAAAACACCTGTTTTTCTTTTTTATGCCTGGCGTGCATCTATTACACTTCCTCCCTTAAAACCGTTAGGGGAGTTTTAACGGCGTATTCCGCTCGCACCCGCGTCCGAGGCGCAAGGATTCAGGGGGCTTCCTCTCCGGGCTGCGAGGGATCTTCCTGAGCGGAGCTCTCCGGGTGCCCCGGCTCGCGGGGGCCGGCGAAGGGCAGGTGGGTGCGGCCGTGCGGGTGCGGGGGGTGCAGCGCCCCAGGGGGCGCCACCTCGTGCGGCAGGATGGTCGCGGCGGCGGCGGCGGCGCCCGCCTTCTCGGGAGGGGGCGACAACACCGAGGACAGGCAGGGGAAGGCGGCCGCGGCGGCGGCGGCGGCGGCGGCGGCGGCGGCCGGGGCGGGGATGCCGGGGTAGAGCAGCGGGA